TTTTTTTTTTTTTTTGGGGGGACACACACAACAGGAAGGTTTCATCATGAAAACAGGAAGAAATTGTTTGAAAATTTCAGAAGTTTTACTGGACAAGATATTGCCCCCCCCCTCCCTTGTATTAAAAGAGTGCTTTCATATTGCCAAGACAGAAATCCATCTGTTAATTTACCAAGCTATTCTGAGATCAATGCTATAAAAATTATGTGTCTCACATGATTCTGCTTCATGGTTCATGTTAAATAAGAGTTAAATTTCCTTGTGTTCATCATACTTTCATCCTTTTTTTTTCTTTTTCCTGATTGTTTGCCAGAAATAAAGACTGTTGCTATCTGAACTGTTTTCTGACTGTATGTCTGTCATCTTTGTGGTTTTTTAATTCACAGTTCCCACTGAAAATGTTGCAACAATTGCAGACTGTGCCAGTGTGATTGAGGGTGTAAGCCGCAGTCGCAACGCCTTATTGAATGGAGACACAAAAAACTACGACTGGGATTCTGGGTACACATGCCATCAGCTTGGGAGCGGAGCTATTGTAGTACAGCTAGCACAGCCCTACATGATTGGATCAATACGGTAAGAGGGTTTATTTTTCTCTAAATTAAGGACCACAATGAAACTTTTGCTGAGCACAGTTATTTTCTTTAGAATATATGACATTTGGATACGATGGTAATTAGGGGACTAGTTTAGTCGTTGTCATTTGGCTTCTTACTTCAGTATAATGGGCATTTTGAATGTTAAATATGTGAATTTTATGTCAAGATACAACAGTGCAATTCCAGAAAATATTACATTTCAGAGACATAATAATAGTAATAGTCAAATTGTAAGATTAAAGGTATATATTTATATTAAAATAGAAATTTAATTGCAGCCTCACTTGTGGTCAAAGTAGGTGCAGTTCCTCGTATCCACCTCATTGTGAAAACAGAAACATTTAATAAAGAAAGCCATCATCTTGAGTCAGCCAGGTTTTCTTTTCACTGTACAATTAGTACCAGTTCTTATTTGAACATGGAGTGTATAATAATGGTACAGTAACCTGAATATTGCTTTACAGTGTTGGATGAATGAATGTATTTAGATCTGCCTTGAAGTTCATTGGGCTATTTCTACAGTGAATGTCTGTATACATACGAAGAACAAACTTTTTAGCTAATGTAGAAACTTCGGAAATAGATTGGAGAGCAGGATTGTTCACAGGTGAAGACAAAAATATTCTTGCCAACTTCAGATTCTGTGACTGTGAATGGGTTTTTTGTTTCATAAAATCAGACATACAAAACCTTGTCTTAATGGCTTTCTGTTCTTTGTAAATTTAGAGTATGTTGTCATGGGCTTAATTTGTATTCTCTGTGACAATGAAAAAAAGAGAAAGGTTTCTGAAGTAGAGTGCCAGTGAGCAAAGGTTGAAACCTCAGGTGAAGTACTTGCTCACAACAGAGACCACGTACACAGGTTCGTATTGCTAGGAACTAGCTCGGTGCTGTCCACCTGGTAGAGTTGCCTCTTCAAACTGATTGATGAGCAAGTGAGACTGGAAAGCTCTTCTATAACTGCCAATTTCTGTTTTGTGCAGTTTGGTTTTGCCATGTGGCATTGTTATGATAGTTATAAAACTTTGAAGATTAAAAATGGACACCCAGGCAAATCTCTAACCTAACAGAAGTAGTGTTTTGTCTGTATACTAGCTATAGATATTACGCATAATGCAAGTCCAGCATTGTTCTCACTGTGTGAAACAAGTTGAATAAATACAGTTGGCAGCTTTCCACACTCTGTTTTATGCTTTTGAGTTTGGTGTTTTTAATGTTCAATTAAGTATTGCATCTCATGTAGAAAATCAGGAAGACACAGTATTCTGATTTCTTAAAAGAGGTCATTGAAAATGTAATTACATCATTTTCCTGCCACTTTAAGCTTAAATTTAAGTAGCAGCAGAAGCCTTGGCCACATGAAGGAGTCAGAGAAGAATATATTAACTAAAATGCAGAGTTTCTCAGTTCATAGTCTCTGTCTTCGTATCTTTCCGTTTTCTTCTATCTTGCAACTGGTGAATCATACCGTCTTTTCAATCAGTGCAAAAATTTACTTTCCTATGTTAAATACTATGCTAGTGTTTATTCTTGAGCAGAAGATTTTTAATAAGTCTCATTCTTAAGTAGTGTGTTAGGTGAACTAGACTTTTGGTTGCCAAGAAATTGTAATTGTATAATTGGCAAGTATGTAGAGCAAATTAAGAACAAACAAACTTTACATAATTTACAACTAATAGACGTTTAGTGATTTATGTGGAATTGCATTGTACAGATATAAGGTCAGAATTTCATCTTTGTTTGTCAGCTTTCCTGCATGTATAGTACAAACAAGATGAATAGCTTTCCTTAAAAAAACAACAATAAGAAACATCGTCATCTAGGTTATCTTCTGACAGAGGAGACTACCTGCATTGCCTAGAGACAGAAATGCTAAGACTCTGTCATCTTTTCCTTTCTGTGTTCTGCCTAGAAGAACAAGTGTTTTGAGTTGCAGCCGCGGCTGTGCAGATCATAGGCAGCCAAGGGAAAGATGCCCCTTTGAGTGGGGAAATGAGGTTTCACAAGTGAAAATAACAAGTGAGGTTTCACTATTCAGCTGAGCAATGCTAAAGATTATGACAATGGTCTCTTTATTTAACACCAGGAAATCTGTGACTGGTACAGAAATCAAATTTTATGTATAAACATAGATTAGAGCAAAAAGTCTTAATATTTCATCTTAATGAAAGCAAGAGATTTTTTTGAACAGAAAAAATGTCTTCCACAACTGATTGAATGTATTCATTGCCTGTTTTCCTGCTGTTTGCTTGCTTGAAAACTCCCTTGATCTCACCCTCCCACCTAATAGAAAAAATTTTCCAGGAGCATTTTCTTAAGTCTGACTGTACACCATGACTGCAGAATGACAGGAATTGTTCTACCCCCCGAAGCTGAGTCATTAGACCTGAGGGTTTGGATCCTAAATGAATAATTAGGAATTAAAGTACCTATCTTTTAAGTTCAGAGACATGAATGTACCATTGAATCTATTTGTATCAGAGAGCACAAATATATGAGCCTTTGAAAAAAAGGGTCGTAGCTGCTTTTAGTCTATAGAAATTGGGATACCACTCGAGAGAGCCTCCAAGTCGGAACGTGTTACCGTGGCAACTAAATTCTGAATATGAAAAAAGCAAAAGAACTCTTGGTACTCAGATATGCATTAGGAATGCATAGAGAGCTTAATGTTTCAGGTCTGTATCTTGGATGCATGCTTTCTGTAAAAGTCAACCTGTTGTCTTAGAGTCTTAGAACCACTCAGACTGAAAGGGACTTGAGGAAGACATCTAGCCCAGCCTGTTCCTCAAAGCAGGGTCAGCTATGAAGACAGACCATCCTACTCAAGGCTTTATGCACTCAGGTCCTGAAAACCTGCAAAGAAGGAAATTCCACAACTTCTCAGGGTAGCCTGTTCCAATGTGCAATTAGCCCAAAATATATTTTCTTGGGGTTGTTTGTTTGTTTGTTTGTTTTTCTCCCCTTGTGATGCAGTTCCTGTTTTCCTATACCTCTAGTCCATCGGGAACATCCTGTTTCAATTTTTGGCCATTGTCTTTTGTTTTCCCTGTTGTGCACCTCAGTAAAGACCCTGGCTCAGTCTTTTTGACAACCTGCTCTCAGGTATTGAAAAGTGGTTTTAGGTTCCTCCCCAACCCCAAGCCGCCTTAGACTAAACAAACCAGTTTCCTCAGCCTCTTGCACAGTGTGTGTGATCCAACCTCCCGACCATCTTGATGGTCCTCTGCTGCACTTGCTCAGATCTGTCAGTGTTGTAATATTTGGGTCCAAAATGGGATGCAGTATGCTGGGTGTGATCTAACATGTGTCAAGTAAAGGAGAATAATCTCTTTCCTTTGTTCTGCTTGCTCCGTTCCTGTTGCTACAGCTCCGTATGCTGCTGCCCTTCATTGCTGAGAAGGCAACTAGTGGCATCTTCTGTTCAATATCGCTCCCATGTACTTTTTAGCACAGCATTTACTATTGCAGTGAATTGGTCTGTATGAGGTACAGGATTTTGCTTTTGTTCATTTTGATCTTTTTTGCCCATGCCCTTAGTCTTCGCAGAGACTGGCAATCAGTCTTCTTGAATGGCAGCCATACTCTCGAGTGTATCAGTTGCATCCCACAGTTTGCTGTCATCTGCAAGCTTGGTGAGGGCTCATTCCATCTCCTTGTCCAGGTCGTTGATAAAGATGTTAAACAGGATAGGTCCCAGAATAGATTCTGGAGGAACTCGTCTTGTATCCACTCTCCAGGTGGATGATGAACTGTTAACCACTACCTGTTGAACTAAACAGTAGCTAATTTTTACCCATATTGTAGTCTGCCCATCTAAACTGTAACATCCCAACTTGGATACAGGGGTGCTATGGGAAACGATGTTGAAACCTTGTTAATATCAAATACTTCTTCAGGTATTTGTATATGAATTTGGAGCTGTTGACTTCCACATCAAAATTTACTTGGAATTTCTGAAACAGATGTAAAGGTAATCTGTGCTCAATAGTATTTTCTAATAGGAAGACCTCAAAAACATGGGGGTTGGACTAGAGCACATTTATAGGTCCCTTCCAACCCAAACTATTCTATGATTTTAAAGTAATTGTGACTAAATACTGTCTTTTAGATTATAGAAATTAAAACATTTTGGAGGTTTATTCTTTTATTATGACTCCTACTTGGAACAGCTTACAAGATACTTCGAATAGTTAACAGAGAAAATGTTACTTTAAGTATTTTTTCCACATCTGTGGACAGGACAGGAAATAACCTTGCTATTTTTCTTTTCTGAAAAGGCCCTTATCAATGACAGAAAAGATATTATATTTAATTAGGAACAGAAAGACAGCAATTGGTGTGTTTAACATAGTAAACATAATTTAACTTTTAAATTGCTAGAACTTTAATATTGAAAAGGCTGCCATATCACAATAACTCTCTGTCTAACTCTACCTGCATTTATCTGGGATAGAAATGTAATACTATCATGCTACAACCTTTGACTGAGAACTTCATAGGGTTTGGGGTTTTTTCCTATGAATTTCCAAAAAAGAAAGAAGACAAACCAAAAAAAAAGATAGAACGGGATTTGTTATAGTGTATATGGTGGAGGGAGACGGAATTCTTCTGTACCATAGTGGTTTTCATGTTAAAATAAACAGAAATATTTTGCATCTTTGTAAAAGTATGTTAACCAGTTATCCCAGTTTAATCTATTTGAAGACTTCATTACTAATATGAATACCTGATAGCCAACTGTTTTGCTTTTCATATTCAGAGTAATTCTTAAATTAACAAACAATATGAATTGGCTTTAATATGTTTTCTGTTTGCTTATACCATCATCATATACATCTCTGTTATACTTTCTAGTTTTCTATACTGCTTCTGCTTATGAAGTTTTTCTTTCTTTGCTGCTCATTTTCTGTGCTTGCCTGACTTGAGAGTGAAATCGTAACTCAGAATAAGTGATCAAATAAGCACATAGCAAATATGCAGGAATTTTGTCTCCTTTGTAGGATCCTGAAGAAAGGTTAGTTTCCTGCTAGATAACTGCTGAAACATAAATATCTGCAGAAAATGAAAGGAGATTACAGACAACTGGAGGCAAAAATGCAAATACAATTGTATTAAGAAAAAAACTCCTTCCATACAGTTTTGGGTTTTCTTTCTCTTTCCTCATCTTTGAACAAGTGTTGCTATCTCACGTTTTAATTTCTGGCTTTTGAGTTTCTATAAATATGCAAGTAGTTTATGAACACAGTACCTTCAAATATTTATACTGTTTGTGGTAACTACTGACTTACAGTATTCAGGAAGCAGGTATCATCCTGTCAGGTGCACTACTATTGCTGTTTGGTATTCTGCTAACACTATGAGTATATAGTAGTTATACAGCAGTCTGAACTAAACAGTGACAGTCGTTTTTTTACAAAAATAAGAATGAAAAGCAAGCAGAGACAGCACAAAATACTTGTATAAATGCAGAGCAATCAATCATAGGGCAGCACATAACATTTAGGGAAATACTGTTAAAAAAAGTACTGCAGCATCTTTTGATGTAACAGGTAGCCAATATAATCAGTTTCCCACACCTATAATATGAAATTTAATTTATGTTTTAAAAGCTTTTATTTTATAAAATGAGGCATTGTCAACATGTGATACAAATAACAGTACCATATTAAATGATAAACAGGCTTAGACTTTAGATACTCAAAGAAGTGAAGTATGAGAAATTTGTTTAAATCTCACAATGTTGCAGGGAGTGAGCTGGATAAAGCTTTGTTCCACTTTCCCTTCTCAATCCTGAGGGCAAGATTTACTAACAAGAGCTAATTTGGGGTTTTATTCTAATATAGAAAGTCCTAGGAATGTGGGCAGTTTTGCTCTAAACAGATGCATTTCCAATGAGTATAGTTCTGACTTTTTAAGTGGAATATTCTCCTTCCTGTCATTCAATACCCATTTTAGCAAAACATAGCTTCTCTACAAAAGTTTAGCCTGATAGTTTGCCTGGAATGTGTTTCAAAGATTACTGTACCTGACATAAAAAGTGGCCGTTGTGCTCAGTGTGCACTGGTGAATATTCATGTAATCACCTGAAAGTTTTTCAGTGCTTATCCAGAAAGGCATTTCATGCAGAGTAAATTCCAAATAGGTTCTGTCATCAGTTCCCTCCCCAATCTCTCCTAAAAAAGCGGGGAGGTGAAGAAAGAAATTTTTATTTTCTTTCACAAGTCCCAAAGAAACAAAAATCTACATTTAGCATTCATACTAAGTCACTTTGGGAAAGATTCTGCCAACTTTAATTCACTTATTGTTTGGTTTGTAATAATTCTAAGCCATATGCTTTTTTAAACCTTTTTAACTTGGGCTAGGTTATATTGGGAGAGAGCAATTACACACATTCTTAAAAGTAACACATATGTTCTATTAGCCTTTTACTCTAAAGCCAAGCCAGTTGTGTTTTAATTATGGTATTGTTAGTTGAAATTACAGTCACCAGTGTGCTTCTGATATTCAAGTTCTTGATCATAGCTTTGAAAACATGGATCAAGGAAACAACACTGAGCCCCCATGATGAAAAAGATCCTATTGGAAAGCATAATTAGCCTACATTTTAATAGTCTTTTTAAAAGAAAAGAAATTTACATATGTTTTTCGCTTTTCTCTCTGTTTATCATTTAAAAGACTTGGTTTAAATATAGATGTTAAATCAGTTCAGGATATGTTGATTATTAGTCATTACCAAATCCAGGATTTTAATCCATAAACTTTTCTTGAATTTTTTTTTTTTTTAAAACTTCTTCAGTATTTGGAGACCTTCAAGCTATAGAAAAGCAGAATGGGGAGGATCTAATGAAGCAGGGAGAGAGGGGTTGGAGTTAAGTGGTTTTGTTTTGGGGTATGGGTTTTGTTTGTTTTTTTTTTTTAAAGTCTTTCATGATGCCACAGGCAACTATTTTTATTTTTTACGAAGTCAGCTCTGAATTTTTTAATTTGCAAATAAACAGTATTAATACGTACTAAAAGGCTTCTGTTAAAAGTGTTCTATTTTAGCTTCTTAAAGCTATTTTTGATAGTTTATTATTTTTGATAATATTAATGAGCTGGGTTCAGTTGAGAGCATCTAAGGACTTTATTTTAAATCTGCTTGTCCGTTAGACCTGATTCCACTTTAATTGCTGGGATTCCAAAACCTAAAAAAAAGAGAGCAAAACTAGATTGTTTTGAAAAGAAGGTAATAGCGCTGCTTTCTAGGGCAAAGATACAGACACGCATGCCCTTAATAACCAAATTCAGAAGATGATCTAGCTTCTGCTTGGGACAGCATCTCTCTGTAAGAGGAAGGATTCTGCATTCAGCAACTGGCTAGGTCACTTTCCCCCTGTAGCAGTGTTGGGGTTTTTAATGTTAAAAGTGAGCAATGATTTTTGCCATTATATTCTTCCCAGAAGAGGTAGCAGCTGAAAGCAAGAAATACTTTCTCAACTGGAAGGAAGGAATTTGTAATATAAAACTTGGGCATTCTGAAGGGCGATTAAAGAGAGACAGCTTGAAATTCTGTGCTTGGGAAAGTCTGTAGTGTGGCACAAGTTCCTTTTCTTTTTATGTATGTCTCAACTGTTTTCATTGACAATCAATGGGTCCTTATCTATTGCACTTTGAAAAACGTGGACCTGTGGAAGGCCTTCCTCACAGCTGGAGAAAGAACCCAGTTTAGCTGTATTACCTGGCTTCTGCACTTCTCTGTGCACGTGGCTGTAGTTACTCTCATTTAGGTCATCATTGCAGTTGCAGCTCTTTGGATAGCCTGCTGTGCTTTGGTTGTTTGACTACAGCAGGTTCACTCGCTTCTGTAACAAATAGTCAGATTTAAGCAGTAATCCTAGTAAATGTTAGGTAACTTTGACAAGAACCTCAGGATCAAGAGACAGCAGCAGTTGGTAACAGCCAGTATATTCCAGTAGACTATTTATTTTCCATTGATGTATTGAGTAAAGGTTCAGAGAGTAAGAGCTTTAACAAAAACAAAATCAGCAAAACATAATTTTCCATGACAGACATAATGTGGATTGTTCACTTAGAATATCGGAATTCAAAAACTTTGGATAGGTTGACAAGAGAGCATTATTTTCAAGAATGGTAAATGCAGCATGCTGGTTTAGCCTCCAGTCGCCTCTAACTCAAGTAGAAAAGATTTTTGGAATTTTGTTTTTGATATCACATTTGTCATTGAGTTTATAAGAAAACAGTAAGAACAGCAGTTAATTTTTCTAAACTGTACTCTGCTAATCAGTGGAATGACACTAGCCAAGGGTTTTATGTAAAACACAGGGGAAAACACATCTATTAATCAAAATACGAACAACATTGAACTGCTTCTAAAAAAGAAACTGCAGAAGTGTATGCCTCTGTTCTGGCCAGTACATTGCACCTTTAAGTTGTGTAAATACCCTCTTGTCATTTGTGGATGCTTCATTGGAAAAAAGGATTCTCCATATTGGTTCGCAAACATGCTGGATAGAATTTTTCAGGGTTTTTGCTAAAGCAGGCATTCTGTGCTGGATATCTTTCTTAAGTGTACACATCTCAATCCCATCCACTGAGAAGGAGAGGAAAGGCAAAGTTCTTGGTTTGCTTTAATTCCTTAGAAATAAAATGAAGTTGAGGAATGCTGTTGAGGTTTCAAATACCTCTTACAACGGGGAGATAATCCACATATAAAGAGAAGAAGCAAAGAAGATACGACATTTGCCAGATGTGGTTTTTGAGAATGGTATACTTAAGTTAGATTACATCCCTGATGCTTTATATCTTCCTCTCTGTGAGACAAGTGTGGAAATTGAAGGCTGTTCAATACGTTATTTAGTGCCCTTCCTGAAGAGCTGCATGTTTGCTAGAATAAGTATGGAATAAGTCCTTGAGACCTCGATTTTCTTCCTTTGTCTTCTGTCTTTTTAACAATTTGATCAACAATTCATTGCCTTTTTCCTCATATGATGATGAACCAGGACTGGGAATTCCCATTTTCCTACCTGTCTTTTTTTTAAAAAAATCTGATATATTTACAAAACAAACAAACAAAAAAAGACAATGCAGTTAAGACCGTGTAATCCTTTTTAGTGACCAGAATCTTTTTTTCTTTCCCCTCTTAAGATGGCCTTTCCAAACATATCTTTGATTCAGGTTTAAAGCAGGCAATACCACATGCCAAATAAATTAGTTCATTTATTGACTTTCAAATAAATTGAAAGTAATTAGATTAATGTAATAGATTAATGTTGGTAAGATGGTTATTATCAGCCTCTATTACTGGCCTTAGGATAATAAAAGTAGAGATACTTAAGTTTCAGGTGAAAGAAACAGTAAAGATTTTGTTGAGTGTTAGAGGAACATTCCAAAAGTAACAGCTAAATTTATAGAGGATTAAGAGGAGGAAATAAAAGACTGGAAAACTTAAGCAGCTTCGTTTAATGTTTATTTTACTTATCACTCAACAACTTCTTCATACTTAGATTGCTACTTTGGGACTGTGATGATCGGAGCTACAGCTACTACATTGAGGTTTCAACGAATCAGCAGCAGTGGACTATGGTGGCCGATCGCACAAAAATTTCCTGCAAGTGAGTTTAATTTTTTCCACTTATTTGCACAAAGTTAGAACGGGAAACTGTGTTTTTTATCCTTTTGTTCAGTACTTACATAGGTGACTTTTTGACTGTGAAAAGAATGATCATTTCATAACCTGTAGATGACTACCTCTAGACGCTTGTAAGTGCAACTTCAGGATGTAGCAGCTTCTGGTGGCGGCTGAATATCTAGACTTTCAAATCAGAATCAAGTTCTGAAAATCCACATCAGTACTGGATCTTGAAACAATCATTTTGATTGTTCATTCTCAGAAACGGTCTGCCTACCGTACCCTTGTTGTTTTGATGACTGGAAGTTAAACCATGTTTCTCCGGAGTTCACGTGTTTATGGTGACCTTGGTGTCAAATCACCCCACCTTGAGAAGCATGGTAGGAGAGGAAAGAGAGCATCTTGGTAAAGTGTTTTTGTAATCAATGCCTTTCTCCCTTATCAAAGCACAGAAATGTATTGTATGATATTTGAAGGGAGTGGCGAGAGTGAGAGTGGGGACCAAACCATAACAGATTGAACTGTTACCTAAGCTTGACCTTGTCTCTGTTCAAAAGCAGAGTACCTGACTTACATGTACTGACCACTCTGCTTTTGAACAGGACCCTTCCATAGAAGAAACATGCTGCCTAAAAAGTGAGAAAAACTGCTTCATTTTCATTTGTGTACTTAAATCAAGAGAAATAGTGCATGAATACCCTCCATATGTATACCCTCCAGTGGCTTTTCTGCAATTATTGGGTGTGCTGATAAAACCCATTCTTCTAGTATGGAAGAATAATTCTGTGTTGATAACCTTCTTAAACCATTTGATAGTTCTAATTCCAAGTAAAGAATGACCCAGATACTTGTCATGGGACTGAAAAGACAGTCTGCAAATTTATATGTTACATATCCAGAAGCCAGGTATGCTCAGTACTCAGTGAGTGTTGATGGCATATGATCTCCTGCCTGATCCCCAGGGAAGCTCAGACTTCTAAAAATCTTATTTCCCTCTTTTTCCCTGAGTCAGTTTTCCATAAGATACACTTTCTTTCCTGGGACAAAATTGAAGTCGTCAGCTCATATGAGGGCAGCTCCCACTCATCCTATATTTGTGCCAACCAAAACAAAATTGATTGTACAAATTCAGAGGTATACCTCAGTTTGTCACATCAAGCAAGAGAGTTATTCAATCCTTTCTAGCAACACTGCTGATACGCATTTTTCCTAAAGTTTATATTCCACTTCTTAACAAATAGTGCAATTCAAATGTGTTACAATGCGGTCTAGACATGTTGGTGAAGGACAACTTGATGCATCCTTTCACTATCTGTAAAGGGCAGGGTATTGAGCAGAAAACCTGGGTTCTGCCTGCAGGCCTGGAGAAAGAGTAAAGGAGATTTAATCATTCTCAAAGGCATCTCAGGGTAATAGATAAAATTCATCTTTTTGTCTGCCTCCAGCAGTGGGAGCACTAAAAGGCTGAAACCACAAAAGAGAGAGGAGAGGGAGACTGAGAATCAGAATCTGTTTGCTCTTTTTCCATGTATGTTTTGATACTAATAGCCTATAACAGTCAAAAGGAGGACTTGCTTAAGTATGCACAGTGCAGGTGGAATTGCTGATTGACTGCCCAGTTCAAGTATCTACTCACTTACCACTTTCAAACCACACATTTTAAAGCCTTTAACCATGGACAAGTATAGGTGCATCCCTGAAATAAAAATAGCTGCCTTCTCATGGTATACTTCAAGATCTTGGTTCAAGACATAAGTGCTCTGGAAGTTCTTAAAGCAGTGGTTACAGGACCTATTTTCATGTGGATTAGAGAATTGCATTTTGCCTGACTTCTTCCTCTGACAGACATGCATCCAGCTAGCAAAATGCCAGTCTTTAATCTTGAAGTCTACAGACTTACAGTGTCCTAGCGCTGTCTGTAACTATCTGCTTTAAACAAATAACAAAGACCTGGTCCTGAAGCTTAAAATTACAAAAGCTCAGTGGACTCCAGAACAATTCAATTTAACAAGGACTAGAAAATTGTAAATAAAAAGCATCAATTTTAAAAAAAAATCTTACTTCTCTTTGAAAGTTTTCTGTCCTCTGCAGTTTACATTTAAATACTGTGTCGTCTAACTGAGATAAGTTGAAAAGTGTTCTTTGCATTTGACAGCACTTTTTCATGTTCAGTTTAAATGTCTTGGTCTTTATGATCAACATATTAGACTTTTTTTTTTTTACAGTCACACCACCACAGAAAAGAAAACCCTTTAAATATCTTTAATTTTCTTTTCAAGTAGGATTTGCAGAAATGCTGAAATTACTTCAGCTAAAAATATCACCTTGGTTGTAATGGCAGGTTGATAACTCTAAATACTAGAAAAATAATATTTGTATCATATAGAAAAATAAATATATGCAATATTATATATATTTTTTAAATATGTAAAATAAACATATAAAATACTATATAACTACCAAATGCTGGTCTTTACAGAGGATCATAATTGCATACAGTCAGAGCTGGACCACTTTTATTTTACTGGAAAATACTGAAACGTGGTACTATGACATAAAAAGCCATACTCTTAGTACTCAAAAACAGTTGAATGTAGAATGGAAGAAACATCATCATTCAGTGACTCATGCACTGAATAAAGGCTCTCGCTTAATGTTGTTGGGCAAGGTTTTGATACGATGATGGAGACATCTTAATGAAGAAGAGACTATTGAACCAGTCCCTGGAAGGAATATGTGAAGAACTGACTTTTTGGTTTAGTGTCTATAAGTTTGGGGTTGTTTTTTTTTAAAAAAGGCATCTCGAAACAAATGAAAATGTGGATTTTTTTTGCTGTGAAAACAAACAAGTTATTTTCACTTTATGTAATTCTAACAACAACAACCAGAGGAGATGAGGAGTTGGATTTTAACCAAAATTAGCAGATGCTCTAGTAAGGCGGCAGTGGTACAGTTTGTCTGGTTCACTGTCATAGCGTAAAGGTAAAGCTACTCCTGCTGGATGCAAGAGAATTTAATTTTTTTTTTTTTTTTACCCCCTCGTCTCTGTTCTTTCTCTTACCATGATTACCTTGGTATTTTATGCAAAGAGCACAGCTCCAACAGAGAGAAATCTGCCTCTGGATGCCTTTTAGTTAAGTGATTCAGGCACTCCCCAAAGAAAAGCAAGAATCAAACTCATGCACTGTGCCTGGGTTTGACTCGTCATCAGGTTTTTGCAGATGGTTAGAGATTCTTGTGTTTAGCAATTTGCCTTAACCGACTACAGCGTAACGGGATGGAAGTAACAGTGCTGTCATCTCTTTGTTCTCTGTGTGTTTGTGAATGTCACACCTCTCTCTCACCTGGAAGAAATGAAACCAATCTTGCTAATGTGGTCAAATTTTGCAACTGTTTTTTGTCTTGGCCAAATCCTTTTTTTTTTTTTTTTGATTAATATTTGGACATCCCAGCCCAAAAAGGCCTAATCCTACATTGGTATAAAGATTGTCATCACTTCAGCTTATGTGTCTTTGTTTAAAGAAAATGAGAAGTAAGGCTGTCATTGCATAGGACTGTGATTTCCTGTTTGACAAGTACCTCTCAGAGTAGCAGTCAACTGAGAACCATTATGCATGTAGTTGTGTCAGGCTAAAATGTGAATTCTTTCCAAAAAGTATACTCCAAATTACATCTGTTTTCTTTATAAATTTTGGAAATGTGAGTGCAGTCTAAGTGGTTGATAAGGTCTTGAAATCCTGAGTTTACCCATTCTGGCATTAGTTCTGTGTTTAATATGCTGCAGTGGACTCGAGAAAGATAACTCACTTTGCTGTGTAGGATATGCTGCAGTAGCAAATGAAAGTGGAGTTAAAACATGGGAGAATTTCAGAGGGGCCCACATTTGAAGAGACACAATACTTGCAATGAGAAAATTTACTTTGCTAGTAATGTTCTCCGTTCACTTTAATGTCTTCAAAGACATGTGGGTAAGAGTTGTTTCCTTCGCTGTTTGCTTGCTTGGCTTTCTGTCCACCCAGTCTTTCAGTGGAATTACAGTCCTTTGTGAAAGTCATTAGCTTGCTGTCTCGCAAGTGTCCTGTGAGGTCTCCAAATCATTTTGCTGAATCTCTGGCACAAGAGGTAGGATGAACCATAAAGGTAGCAAACACAGACCTCAACAGACACCTTTGATGATCAGTAAGTTGCAAACAAAACGATGAGAAAGAAAATTAAATTATGTTTAAATGAATGTGTTGGTTTTAGCAGTCTACTGAAGCATGAACTTCCCCTTTAAACTATCGATATGCTGCTTTGGGTTGTTTTAATGGTATTTTTAATACAGGATTTTGTATTAATTAATAATTCAATGCTCGAAGCCAGGAGCTGACAGGCTACTCCTAACCTCCTCTCCTCCCAGTTTTAAAAGACGGAAGACAGAAACTGGATGTCTGTTGTCTTCACAGGGGAAGCTTGTGTATCTTCCCTAAGCGAGAGCCAATTAAGGCGTGCTGGTTGTGTAATTGTCAATTTTCATATGCTCTATGGAGGCTAGTTTTTTTTATTTTCCACAGTAAGCTGTTTTTCTCTACACAGTATGACAGTAATGAAAAACAGTCATGTTCCATTCTGTTCTCTAAAACATTTATGATAAGTGGGCTTGAGCACGTTAGTGTCGAACAATAGAGACCTGCACTTGTTAGAATTTGCTGACAAAGAGTCTGAAAGTCAAATGAAAAACAGAAGATACCAAAGGCCAGTAGGAGTCAGACCTCAGAATTAATGACACCTTTGATAAAATAAGCCCTGTAAAGACAAATACGAAACAGGCTGTTACAATGGTTATCAACTCAGTATCATTCTTTAAAGTTCACTTGTGTAGTTATTATGAAACCGATCTAATCCATTGGCAGCAGACACACCTTGTTCAGTTCCCCAGTAGGAGAAGAGGGTCTAATAGTCCGATAGAATTTGGCAGACAATGAATATTGTTTATTGATGGGC